TTTTTTTTGAGAGACGGGATCTCACTCTTGTGGAGGCTGGTCTCAAACTCCTGAGCTCAAGTGATCTTCCTGCCTCAGCCTCCTAGAATGCTAGGATTATAGGTGTGAGGCACTGCACCGAGCCCTGCACCTTGATTTACAAGTAGAATATCAGGGCTCATGTATAATGCTCTTAGAGAGGCTGACTCCCAACTTGTCCCACTATAGCATCACTAAGGTTGCTGCAGGGAGGCCCAGAGGGGAGGGCTTGTCTGGAGCAACGCCTGGAGGAGCTGAGAAGGGAGCTGCAGGGCCTTCAGAGCCAGGTGCTGGAGCATACCCAAGTCCAAGCACGGATGCAAACAGAACCATTAATGTGCAGTCCTACCACTGGCCTTCAGGAGCTGCAGACTGAGTAAGTGATAGGCAAGATTTTGTCTTCTTGAGGTCTCTGAACTCATGACATTCTGGGAGGCTGGTGGTCTCACTCTGGATTCGTTGACTATAAAATGATATTGCTGATACTTCTACAGGCGGCAAGGCTTGGAGGAGGAGGCAGAGAGTCTGCGGGAGGAAGTGAAGTTGCTGCAGCATCAGCTAAGTAAGTAAAAGATTAGGGGTGAATATGTATTCCCTTGTCTCCTTTTCTGTAAAGCCTTCTAGCTGCTGTCCCAGTAAGACCCCTTAGCTCTGACTGCTTGAGCTACTGAGAAGTGTGGTGAACTATTTTGTCTTGCTCTTCGCCTCTCATGGTTTGAGATTAGTCTCTCTTGTCAGCTTGGAAGCTTCCCAACAGCAGGACCAGACATGCTTCTGTTTCAGTTTTCAGCACCAGGTTGGTCACAGGCAGGCAGAGCAAAGGAAAGAAGTTGGGGAACAGCTTCCTTATATTCTCACCTACAGGCCAGCACCGGGAGTTGCTGCTGAAACACATGGCTGAGGGGCAGCCGACTCATGCCTGCCCCTGGAAGGTAGGACCAAGATTGTATAGGTGTCTGCATGTTTCTTCATAGAGGCCCCTTCCTTTCTCTGTCTCTCCTGTTTGGCAGGCAGGCCAGGATACCTTTTCCAGCCCCCATCTCTATTCTCTCTTTTCTGTTCTGATTCTACTTCTCTCCAAAACTCTTCTTCACAATTTTCTCTTCTGCTCTAGGACATGAGAAGCTGTCCTTGGCCACATGAATGTTCCAAGTATGCTGAAGAGGACAATCATGGGGAGGGGAGTGGGAGAGGTTTGGTCCTACCTGATATTGTGGACTGGCAGATGTTGAAGCACCTGCAAAGTGGCCAGAAAGGCAAGGGTCACACCCTGGAGGTTACCAGTACAGAGGCCCAGGATGCGCGGCGGAAGCATGACATACTCAGGTCTGGGGGTATGGGTGCTGTGGCAATAGAGGGGATTCTTTTCACAGAGGTCAGGCACTGGGGATCAAAGTTCAGCTCTCCTAGATTTTGGCCTGGGCTGGTAGGGGTAGTATGAGTTTCTTGGTTGTGGCCCATAAGGGCAATGTTGGACATTCTTTACTTGATCCCAAGTCACTGAGATGTCTTTATATATATGGATATAAAGAGAGAAGGGACTTACTTCTGTGCTGGTAGAGCTCCTTCCACATGTAATTACTGTGTCTGCCTCTGATTTTGTTCCCCTTTCCAGAACCTCTGTTCGTGTCCTCCAATCTAAACTGCCCCTGGCCACCACCTTTGGCACATCCCTTTTTTCGTCTAGCTCTGGAGTTGGTCTTCTGGACAGTAACAGCAGCTGGGAACTTTTATGGCAGCTAGGTGGGGGTAAGAACAGGGATCCCAGTTTGGGGGGAGGCTGAATCTGAGTGATGCCTGGGTATAAAAGCTGCCTAATTATTTAATACTGGGTAGAATGAAGTCTCTGCTTCTTTGTGAATTCATTGATCTCTGTTGCTACTTATCCCAAGCTAGGCCTGTATGTCCCTCTCCATCAAACAGGCCCAAGGCCTAGTTCTGTGCATATCATAGGTCTTGCCAATGATTTGTTTTCACTGCCCTTTTCCTTCCTCTTAGCTTTCCAGAGGAGCACCCTTTCTAACTTGGAGCCCAGCAGCTTTCATCTCCACGCCCAGAGTCTTGAACAAGAGACTTTGCTTCAGAGCCCCAAGATGCGCCTGAGTGACCTATAAGGACTTATAAGAGTAGTGGGAAGAAGGCTTCATTGCTCATCCTTCCCTTCAAGGCCCTGCTTGTAGGCCACCTGCCCCTCCCCTCTTTACCTCACTGGTATTTGCCCTTTCTACTGAGGCTTTTTACTGCCTGCCCATCTCTGTCCTCCCAACTGCAATAAAATGGTTTAACCCTCCCCAATGTGTTTTCTATGAATCAGCATCCACATGGAATAGACTTAATGAAATTTCCTGCTCCTTTTATTTGACTACTTCCTGTGACCTCTACCACTGAAATCCAAGTCCACAGACACTTATAGATGTACCTTCTGAGTACAAGCTCAGCTGAACTTGGAAAGAGATGAGAGCTACCATTGTGGTGAATAGAATGATACAGGACACTGCTCTGGGGCCTTAGTACTGTGGGGATGCAGAGGAAGGTGAGATATTCTGGTGAGACCTGGACTTGGATAGTAGGATTCTTCCTTTCCTTATCTCTACCTTTTGCTTTTTTTTTTTTTTTTGAGACAGAGTCTTACTATGTCTCCCTCGGTAGAGTACAGTGGCATCACAGCTCACAGCAACCTCAAACTTATGAGCTTAAGTGATTCTTTTGCCTTAGCCTCCCAAGTAGCTGGGACCATAGGCGCCTGCCACAATGCCTGGCTATTTTTTTTGGTTGTAGTTGTTGTTTGGCAGGTCTGGGCTGGATTTGAACCTGTTGGCTCCTGTGTATATGGCTGGTGCCCTACCCACTTGAGTTACAGGCCCTAAGCCTAGATTTTGCTTCTTGAGGTTCATTCTGGCTTTTCCACACCTCCTCATACTCAGCAGCCTAGCCTGCATCTCTGCAGCAGTCTTCTCGGTCTCTTTTCTTTCAGTCTTTCTGCCTGTAATCCAAAGGCTTACATAATTTTTTTTTTTTTTTTGGCTTACATAATTTTTTTGACTGTGACTCCCAGTGAGAAATATAGTTTACACTGTGACTTAGTAAACATACTTACACAAAAATTTCATGATTTATTTTTTATTCTTTTTTTGAGACAGAGTCTCTCTTTGTTGCCCTTGGTAGAATGCGATGGCATATCATAGCTCACAGCAACCTCAAACTCTTAGGCTCAAGTGATCCTCTTGCCTTAGGCTCCCAAGTAGCTGGGACTATTTTTTAACACAATGTCTGGTGATTTTTTTTTTTTTTTTTTTAGAGACCAAGTTTCACTCTTGTTCAGGCTGGTCTTGAACTTGTGAGCTCAAGTAATCCACCTGCCTTGGCCTCCCAGAGTGTGAACCACCACACCCAGTCCTTTTTTTTTTTTTTAAAGACAGAATCTTACTCTCTTATCCTGGGTAGAGTACTGTAGCATTTTAGCTCACAGCAACCTCAGACTCTTGGGCTCTAGTGATCCTCTTGCCTCAGCCTCAGGGGTAGCTGGGACTACAGGCACGAGCCACCAGGTCTAGCTAATTTTTCTAGGACTCTTGCTCTTTTGCTCAGGCTGGTCTCAAACTCCTAAGTTCAAGCAATCCACCCACTTGGCCTTCCAGAAAGCTGGGATTACAGGCATGAGCCACCGCTTGGCATTTTATTTATTTATTTTTTTAAAATTAAGACAGTCTTAGTCTGTTGCCCAGGCTAGAATGCAGCGGCATTATCATCACAGAAGCTCCAAACGTCAAACTCCTGGGCTCAAACAACCTTCCTGTCTCACTCCCGAGAAGTTGGGACTACAGGTGTGTACCACGATGCCTGGATAATTTTTTAAATTTCTGTATAGACAAGGTCTTGCTGGTCTCAAACCCTGGCCTTAGGCAATGGTGACTTGGCTTCCCAAAGAGCCAGGGTTACAGATGTGAATCACCAGGCTCAGCCTAGCCTCAAAATTTTCTTTTTTTTGAGACAGAGTCTCAGATTGTTGTCCTTGGTAGAATACAGTGGCAGCATAGCTCACAGCAACCTTAACCTCAGACTCTTGGGTTTAGGCAATCCTCTTGTCTCATCCTCTCAAGTAGCTGGGACTACTGGTGCCTGCCACAGGGTCTGGCTATTTTTTAAAGATGGGGTGTTGCTTTTGCTCAGGTTGGTCTTGAACTCCTGAGCTCAAGCACTCTACCCATCTGGTCTCCCAGAGTTCTAGGATTACAAGCATGAGCCACTGTACCTGGCTGCGCAGCCTCAATTCTTATTCTTACTGGAATAATGCTCTCTGATAGTTTTTTTCCTTCCTTTCTATTTTTTTAAGTGATAGAGTCTTTTTTTTTTTTTTTTTGGAGACAAAGCCTCAAGCTATCCCCCTGGGTAGAGTGCTGTGACAGCACAGCTCACAGCAACCTCCAACTCCTGGGCTCAAGTGAGTCTCTTGCCCCGCCCCCCAAGTAGCTGGGACCACAGGTGCCCGCCACAATGCCCGGCCATTCTTTGATTGCAGCTGTCATTATTATTTTGGTGGACCTGGGCTGGATTCGAACCTGCCAGCTTAGGTGTATGTGGCTGGTGCCCTAGCCACTTGAGCCACAGGCACTGAGCCAAGTGATAGAGTCTTGCTATGTTGTCCAGGCTAGTCTCAAACTCTTGGCCTCAAGCAATCTTCCTCCCTCAGCCTCCTAAAGTGCTGGGATTAATACTCTGATATTTTGGTTATATTTCATTTTAAAAATGCCTTATGGCTATTGATTCTGACCCTTTACACTTACTTGCTGTATAGAAAGTACAGTTGACTTTTGAACAACATGGGTGTGAACTGCAAGGGTCCGTCCATGTATATATAGATTTTTTTCCCCCAACCAAACATGGATCAAAAAGACAATATTCTGGGATGTGAGACCTGTGTATATGGAGGGCTGACTACTTTTCTTATATTTGTGTTCCTCAGGGCTGACTTTAGGACCTGAGTATACACAGATTTTGGTATATTCTCAATGTCCTGGAACCATTCTCCAACGTATATCAAGGGACAATGATATCTTTTTTTTACTTTTCTTTTGTTTGTTTGTTTGTTTGTTTGTTTTTGTAGTTTTTGGCCGGGGCTGGGTTTGAACCGGCCATCTCCAGTATATGGAGCTAGCGCCCTACTCCTTGAACCACAGGCGCTGCCCCGATATTTTTCGAAGTGACTAAGAGCAGCTTTACTTTTTCCCTGCCTGGGCTTTGTATTCTAGACAATGTTGTCCAGGGCTTCCTTAGAAGCAGCATTTCATTGAGACCTCATAAAACCTCTTTTGTTAAATACAGTCAAAAATAATGCTATCCACCCACCAGTGGATGTTTATTGGGAGCAATCCTGTTATGTCTTTGCCCTTAGCTAAGATGTGCAGTGGGGTCACGTGAAGATCCCAGCTCTTAGCTCAGTCTGGCTGGAGAGAGGAGACAGTTGTCTGAAATAAAAGCATAATAAAAGGCTGAAATGTGTAGGATAGGAATTACCTTCAGTTATGGGGTACATTCAAGGCCCTGGTCTTACTAGCAGACAGATTATGGAGAAAGGGCCTTTTTTTCTATGAATAGCTACAGGGCAATCTTTAGTTTTTCCTCTTTAGCACTGGGAGACAATGAGAGCAGAATAGCAATCAGACCTGTGTCAAACAGACCCAGTTTAACAACATCAAAATGTCCCATCAAGCCTCATCTTCCTGCTGAAGCAGGTGCAAGAAACCCCTGTGTTTTAGGTCTTTCACTGGGCAGGTGATACATCTGGCATGGTGGCTTTATTTAATTCTGCTTGCTACCAGTGCTTTACTTATTTATTAACTATTTTGTATCAAGCTCTGGGGAGGCAGGTTTGTAAATGGTTCCAGGGTTCTCAGAACAGGAATAATACATATCAATGTGGAACAATGGTATTTGAATTGTCACCAGGTGGCAGCACATGATTTGTTGCCAGAAGAATGGTACCAAAAAGGCTGGTCTCTTTCTCCCTAAAGACATCATGGCTCAGTGTCTGTAGCTCTGCACCTGTAGCTCAAGTGGCTAAGGCACCACCCACATACACCAGAGCTGGTGAGTTCAAATCCAGCCCAGCTTCTAGGGAGGCTGAGGCAAGAGAATTGCGTAAGCCCAGGAGTTGGAAGTTGCTGTGAGATGTGATGCTACAGCACTCTACCCAGGGGGACAGCTTGAAGCTCTGTCTAAAAAAAAAAAAAAAAAAA